CACATTGCACGCTCTTTGACCCTCTCTCTCCACACACCCGGGACGTTCCCCCTGTCGCGCGTGTATGTGTACCTCCCTATCGGGTTTAGTTCCGTGCACCACCTGCCCCCACGTTCAATGGTCCTGCCCCTGTTGGCCTCGCTCTGCCCTGGGCCGAACTGGCCTCGGGCCCAACTTCCACTTGTCCCGCCAGCGGGTGGTTTCGACGGATCTGGTCCAGTCCATGCCAAGACTGGATATCCGCCTCTCGATCGCTCATCTCCGACTCTCCCTCCGAGGCCCTGTCATTGTGTTGCACCTCTCTTGTCGTGGTTCCAGTTGACGAGTCATCCTCGTGGTAGGTGACCGTTACCCGCATACCCGCAGTCACCCCGTCTCGCCTGCACCTCCACTCGGCCCTGTTGCGCGCCTCGGTAATAGCTGCCTGTAGTCCCTCATCCCTTCTCATCTCTTGTTCCCGATGACCACAGACGTTAATCTTTAACCTCACCTCTCCCGTAGACTTTCCGTAGGTCAGTATGGTCTCAACCAAGGGCCCCTGCTCGTCACCCCGTTCCCACGTCCAGGAGTACCTCATATACCTCGGCCTATAGCCACGCAGACCATTCCGATACGCCATAGCCGCCTTCTCTTCAATAGCCAGTGCCAGCGCTCAGTTCGTACTAGCACTGCACATGAGGCTACCGGACAGGCTGAGTCCAGACTATCAAGAAATCGAAGCCTCAACACATTATCACTGTTTACACTTGCGGGGCAATGACATACCCCTCACAAGGAACAACCCATGTTTTATAGTGCTCAGAGGGGCCGCGATCCCCACGTACTAAATGGGGAATCTGATAATAATTTAGAATTTTCAAAATTAACAAAATATACGACTCAAATAATTTCGAACAAGACAAAAAGAAGACGAGAATTCCCAACAGCTAGAACACAGGCAGGGTTCTCGCTGTGTAGTCGTCGATGTCTTAAATCCCCGAACACGACCTCCGATCAGAAGGAATAATCCCATAACGGGATACCGACAGACACAGTTACCCCTTTAAGATGCACTATCGCCCTAGCTCTACTGGGTACCCGTGTCCGATGGCAAGGAGGGGGCTTATGACTCTCCACGGAGAGTGATAGGCTCCCTACCAATGCGGCCGCGGGTCGCCCCTCTTTTGGGGTCCTACAACGCGACACTCAGTCGAACAAGCTTGGCGCAGGTGATATATGAGGGGTCGGCCTGCTTAGTCCGCAAAACGTAGCTCAAGCCCGGATTTCCGACCGTTGGCCTTCACACGAAATGACAGTCCTAAAGGTAAACCGAGTCTGGCAATCATACGAAAAGAAAACTAGGTAATAATATCAATAATAACAATAATAATAATAGTAATAATTGCAGAAAAGAAAAGGATGACCTTTCAAAATTCCTCTGCGCAGCAGCCTCGCCTGAACAGCGATTCGAATCCACGCACAAATTTAAAGCCCGACTTTCAACCTTTTCCCTTTTTCTTTCTTTTTCATACTTTTCCTTTTTCAGACACCACTGTATCTACCCCCAATCTCAGCTACTGGAGTCCAGTGCGCGGCTAAAATGTCTGCAAGGGTCGCTATCACGTCCCTGCACCTGGCCCGGATCACAACCATCAGGACCAGACGGTCCTTTCAACTCCATGCAGGCTGGGTTACCTGATAGCAACTACGACTCATGAATTGAACCACTGGCCATCCCCGAATTAAAGCCAATGCTCAGGTCATTGCATAGGGTTTGACAGTTAGCTTTTATTTTCTTTTCCCATACTTTCTTTTTCTTTACTTTTCTCTTCTTGGTCCCTCATCTACCTTGTGCACTTGACCCATAACCTGGCAAAGGGGGACTCGGCGCGCAATAAATAAGGCAACGCCCGTCCCTATACTCTCGCGTCCCAGGGCGAACCCGGCGGCTACCACGGCCATAGGCCGGTCGTTCTCTGCTGTACAGCAGGGCGCCGAGCCTGCGTGGACCAACGACCCCTCAACCATTACCCACCCCACCCACTGAGACAGCCCATGCCCCATCGGCTGTAATCAATAGGGGGCAATCAACCACCCAATCCCCTTGCGAGGCCAAACAGACATGATGTGGTGAGCAAAAATAGCGGCCGTCAAAATAGGACCCCTCAAAGTTTCCTCGGGGCCTCAGGCATAACACAGGTCTGTGTGGTCCCAGTTTCTTTTTTGTCTATTTTCTCTTTCTTTTGCATGACGCGCACAGAATCAGTCTGAGATTTCTGCTTTTTTTCTGAGCATTGCTCCTTGTGGTTTTTTTTTTTTTTTTTTTTTTTAACTACACTATGTTCTTCTCTCAAATTCTTTTTTCGCCTTTCACTACCTTCCTACCACTACTCCTAAGACTATATAGAGGGGGCCCCTGCAAGCATAGGGCCTCGCAAACGAGGTAATTCATGTTGCCCCCCGCCCCAACAGCGGTAGTCAGAGATGGGTTGGGGCCACTGGTGGGGGTCCGGCTGATGCAAAGACCGAGCATTTTGCCAGTAGCTGCGCCTCCCTTTCTCATCGTCCCCCACCCCTCATCGAGTAGCGGCAGAGGCTATGGCCAACACTCTCCCACACACCAGACACAACCCACTCAGGCTCACACTCACACCCGTGTTGGTCATAGACCCCGCAAATACCGATCAGGGGTATCCAGAGGACTATCACAGTCCGTTGGCACTAAGTGCGCCGCAGACGGCCATGGGGCTTGAACCCACAACCTCCTGCATGCCTGTTGCATGCCTGATTTGCCCTTGTTAGGGTTTCGACTGAAGGTACTGATCCCTCAGATTGTTGCAGAGATTCCATAGTCTTCATAGTTTCACAAGACGATATGGGGACGCTGGACCCAATTTCCAGCAGATATAAATCATAGCATCGGTAGTACACATCTCATCATGGCTAGGGTTTCAACTGATTGGATTGATGCCTCAGATTATTGTTGAGATTCTATAGTTCACATGGATAGGGACGCTGGACCTGTGTTCCGGCACATAGATTCACACCATTGCATAAGGACGCCGGACCTGATTTCCAGCAGATACATTTCATCATTGTAAATGGACGCTGGACCCTATTTCCAGCAGGTGTAGCTCCCCACCAATAGATGGAGCCTTCGACGCCGGGGCCTATTTAACGGGGATGCTCTTATCACCTCGTTAAGTAGGTTTCCCGTAACGGGGATGCCATTGCTAGTGGGACCATGCTCCTGGTTACCACCAGGGGATTAACTGAGCAGGGTGCTGATTTTCTTTTATTTATTATTTTTTCTTTTTTGGGGTGTACTGTGTGAGTTTTTTTTTTTCTTTTTTCTTTTTTTCTTTTTTAGGGAAACTGCTCCTGAGTCACCCGTATAGTTTGAAATAGGCAAGAAAAGACAAAGTGGCACCGATGTCATTGTTTGAGTTTCAGAATGTGCAAGTTTAGCGGGGGGTTGAAACTGTGGCCTTTTTTTCTTAAGTGGCGTGAATGCAGATTTAGCAGCGTCTTTTCTTGCCCTGTTTCGAGAACTGCTGAACTTGCCGATTCCAAACTCTAGGTGTGACCCAGGAGCCGTTGCCCCCCCCAAAAAAGGGCTGGGCGGGCTACTGGCAGTTTAAACTGCCAGTACACGCCCCCAGCCTTGCTGAAAAAGAAACTTGTCACCTACAAAAACTGATGATGCTCACCCGGCGCCACCAGCGGAAAAAAAAAGAAAGTGCGCCGCTGGTGGTTCGGAAAAGCTTGGTGCGCAGTAAGGCACCTTCAGGCCCAGGTCTACTGGTGGTGATGGGATCAGGCCCAGGTGTACTGGTGGTGATGGGATCAGGCCCAGGTGTACTGGTGGTGATGGGATCGGGGAATAGTCTACACAGTACACACGCATACTCTCCACGACAGCTCCCTGAAAACATTTTCAACACATGGCATGTTGGTGACATGCCAGCAGGAAAGCAGCCTGACGTGCACAACTATTTAAGTGTGGCATGTCAAAGCCACAACGGCATATCAGGCAAGTAATATGGGGTTGGGGGGGAGGAGTGCAGGGCAACAGGTCGCAGTTTTCATGGCAGAGGCTGGCAGTGACCATGGGTTCGAACTACTCCGAGCAGGGATTATGGCGTGTGCATGGTAACCGAACTGTGCCCGTATGGAGACACAATGGCATGCGTTGTGTGTGTGTGTGTGTGTGTGTGTGTGTGTGTGTGTGTGTGTGTGTGTGTGTGTGTGTGTGTGTGTGTGTGTGTGTGATGTATTGAGAAACAAGAAAAACAAAACAAAAAAAGCACGGTAGAAAATCACCCATATAAAGAACTGTGGAAGAGGGGCAAGGCCATGTGTAGAGGGGTCTCTTCCGACTCGGAGTTAGCATGAATCTGGACAAGGACCTTTGAGTAACTGCCTCCAGGTCCATATGACTTCGGATGAACATAGCACCCAGTTGAACAAAGGTCGTCCCATCCCCATCGTGCTGCTGGTATCCCTTGGGGGTATATAGCCCAAGCGGGACTGGGTTGGACATTCGATGTCGCGCATAGGAACATATAATTGTCCCATTTGATGCATTGTGCATATTCTTGTGGGTTGGGCAAATATGGGCAAACATGGCTTAGTGAAATTTTCAATCTCTAAGATTTCTTTTGCAGAGTCCCCGCATCCCCAACACACCCCTATCACAATCGACCTTTATCTTGAGTTGTGGAGACATATGTTCCAAATTGTCTGTACACTGCCCTGATACCCCCAATCCCAGCCAACCTTCACAGGTCGACTTGCACTGATAATTTGATAAATGCCCCC